GGACCGACCTGGGCCGGGCACCATGCCCCCCCGGCCCCGTACAAGAAGGCCCTAATGAGAAGTGTCAGGGTTGTGAGTTCCCGCCACTGCACCTTCAGCAACAGTCCTGAAAAACAAGAACACTGTATTTTCATCAATTCCGTAAATCACACAGATGGGAAACTAAACTGCTTCTTGCATCAGGAGAACGCGGGAAGATTGATCACAGAATTAGGCTGTCCTCCCACAGTGCCCTCAGCTGAGCCGAGCCTTCTAGGGGCTGATCTGAAGGCTCAGCTGGGGCCCCTCAGGAGGAGCGTGGACGCCGGCCCCACCTGACCACGGAGTCTCCTTGTGTACGGTGGGTCCCCGAGCACCGCCCACCGACGGCCCCAGAGGGAGCAGCCTGCGCATCGATCAGCACCGCTGTGGACAGCCGTGATTAGGTTATAAAATCATAACTGAGGTTGTTGTGTGTCTGTTGGCATAATCACATCAGCATGCTAATGCCGTTTTAATGGTCTCTAATGATGTAATAGGAAATAATGGAATTTACTTGACAGCTACATAACCATTAACAAAACATATTAAGTATAACTGGAACTTCCATAAAAACGCAGACAAGCTCCGAAGGCGCCGGCTTGCGCGGCGGCCTCTCTTCCTCTCCTGGAACAACGAGCAGCCCTGAGAACGTGCTCCTAGATGCACAGCCAAGCGCTGGCCACACAGCGGCCCCCGCCACGGCCTCCACCGCCCACGTCCGTCTGTCCGGTGGGCGCACGCGCTCAGCACGCCACCACGGTGCCGGGCCCCTAGCTCACACGCGTACAACACAGCACAGACTTGTGCAAGCTCGCACACAGTACCTCGGGACCCGGACGCGCGGGGCCAACACTAACCGGCAGGACGGGGGGCTCTGGCAGGGCGAGGACCAGCTTTACATTGGAAGCATGAGCTGCATTAAGAGCAGGGAGACTGGGGGCCCCTCCAGCGGGGCGAGGCGGCGGGGAAGGACCCTCTGGAGTGCTGGGCTCGCTGGAGAGCTGCGGACCAGACGCTCACTGGCTTAAACAGCGGCGGGGGGTGTCACGTTGGGCTCCGCAGGACATCGGAAGTCCCCAGTTTTCTGACCAGGGAAGAGACTGTGGCAAAAGACACTTACAAAAGCTTTGGCATGGCCCCCAGCTCAGCCAGAAAGTGCTCCCCAGAAACCCTCTGCGCCCCAGTCCTCCTCAGATGTGACAGGGGTGCAGGTGGGAAGGGCTGAGACATGTAAGCCACAGACCCGAGGTAGAGACCAGGGACAGACGGAGTGCAGCTAGCTCCCACCAGACGTCCTCACTGGACGTCCCTGCCCCCGGGCCCCCCGCCCAC